CCGTCGTCGATGCTCAGGATGGACACGTCGAAGGTGCCGCCTCCCAGGTCGAAGATCAGCACGTTTCGCTCTCCCTTTCCCACGCTCTGCTTGTCCAGTCCATATGCAATGGCGGCGGCTGTGGTTCGTTGATGATCCTCAGAACGTTGATGCCAGCGATGGTTCCTGCGTCCTTGGTGGCTTGTCGCTGGGAGTCGTTGAAGTAGGCGGGGACCGTGATCACGGCGTCCTTCACAGCCTTCCCCATGTAGGCTTCGGCTGTCTCCTTCATCTTGGTCAGCACCATGGACGAGATCTCCTCAGGGTTGAAGCTCTTGCTTTCTCCCTTGAATTCCACTCTCAACTTGGGTTTTCCGCCCTCGTTGACCACAGCGAAAGGCCAGTGCTTCATGTCACTCTGGACAGTTGCATCCTCGAACTTGCGACCGATGAGACGTTTGGCATCGAACACCGTGTTGGTTGGGTTCAGAGCCACCTGCAAATAGATTTAGCGATTCAGCTTACATTCTTGTTTTACATCAGAAATAGCGGGAGTATCTTTTTAGGTGTCGAATACGGGTATGTGATCTATGGTGGTAAAAGCATGCAATAAAGTATTTAGCCTGGTATGAGAGAGAAGGGAAGTCAGGTGAAATACGACGGATCGTACATCCCTTCGCCTAGCCTGCTACTACCTGCACAACACTAGAAAACTTTTCATCAGCATTATGAGCATCGTTGTTGCTTACAGAATATTACTGGTAACATTATGCTTATGTTTTTTATCGCATGTGAAATAATATATAATATTGTTAACATAAACAAAATATATAATAAAGTGAAAGTAAAACTACTCTGTGCTATGCTGGAATAACACATTTTCAGTCACGAAGAATCCCCTGTAGCAGATACATATAAAAGTCTAAACTCTTACCTGATTCTTGGCGGCGTCTCCGATGAGTCTCTCGACGTCGGTGAAGGCCACGTAGGAGGGCGTGGTCCTGTTGCCCTGGTCGTTGGCGATGATCTCGACCTTGCCGTGCTCGAACACGCCCACGCACGAGTACGTCGTGCCCAGGTCGATGCCGATAGCTGGAGCTGCCATTCTGAACGAAGGAAGAGAGTATTTATGAGAATATCGCACTGGATTTCCTTACAACACCTTGCACAATTTCAATAACAAACCACTATCAACTTTCATACATGTAAACTCGACAAATGAGTAATATATCGTCAATTAATTTCTTTCAACAAATATTCTTCTCGACATGACTCTTATATATCTAAGCGAGATATAATTTCACCATTCAAACATGAAACAAACCTTTTCAAACACTGAAATTGAGCGCACTAAGAGACTGCACAATGTCCTCGACTGTGAAGCTCGCGCGGGACTCGAGAGAATTCCTCACTGATGCTTGTTGGGTCGCTCGGCTGCTTGAGTTCTGGCGAGTCTGGGCTGCGAGCGAGATTATATAGACGCCCGTTTTCTATGGAACCTCCCATGAGCGTCTGGAAGAATCTCGTTGCTCTGTTGATTAAAAAATATATATAATTACAGAAGCTCAATTCAAAGTTCCTGTATAGGTGTAGCTGTATGATTAATTGCATAAGATCTGGTAAAATAACTGTAGTGATTGATGATTTGTTGTTAGCATTACAAACTGTTCTGGTTTCATCATTCTGGAAATTTCTAAAGGAAACGAATGAACTTAAACTGTCGCCTCTGTAATTCATAAACGAAAATATAGATATTTATGAAAATCTTTAGTAAAAAAATGTTTTAGTTATCTAGAATTATGTACATATTATTATTTCCATTAACTGACTGTTGATGCCTCTAAAGGAAACCGTTTCTAGATGCTTCGATTACTGGTGTTTCATATAAGAATATCCGTTTTAGGGACCGAGTTTGTGTTAAATCTTACCCTGAATTTATACAATGAATCCTTAAATTTACTATTCGGAATCTCCATCTTGTTACCCAAATAACTGTTTTCAGGTGAATTTGGACGAGATATTTACCTACCTGGGAAATTCACAATGAATATTCCTTCGAAATTTACTACGAATATTCCCTCGGAGTTTTACTGTGAAAATACACAAAAAGAAAAAAAAATAGTGTACACATGTATGTTATATATATCATTCAAGAACATATGATTTCAGAATCGCGACTAAAGCAGAAACGACGTTCTAGTAAATTCGATAGAAAACGGGTGATTCTGTGGCGCAAACTATTATTATTATTATTATTATTATTATTATCATTATTATTATTATAACTATTATCATTATTTTATTATCATTATTATTATTATTATTTCATTATTATTATTATTTTATTATATTATTTCATTATTATTTATTATTTCATTATTATTATTATTCATTATTATTATTATTTCATTATTTATTATTTATTATTATTATTATTATTTATTATTATTATTTCATTATTTTATTATTTCATTATCATTATTATTTCATTATCATTATTATTACTATTATCATTATTATTACTATTATCATTATTATTATTATTACACATTGAATTATCTGGAAAATAACACACACACATGCGAACCGTCTGTGCACGCTCTTTTTCATGTATATGAATATTACATTGCAAGCATAGCAAGCATAGCACGGCTGTGTTTGTACGTGTTCTTCATCAGTGGAGGACATGAACTGAAAAGTTTTCAACTCATTGGCAGTCGCATAGAGCATGTTTAATAAATGATTTTTTTTCATATGAAGAGGCTTGTTTTTCCTATGTATAGAAATGTGTGTAAATGTGTGTGTGTGTGTGTGTGTGTGTGTGTGTGTGTGTGTGTGTGTGTGTGTGTGTGTGTGTGTGTGTGTGTATGCATGTATGTATATATGCATGCCTATATATCTATATATGTATATGTATATATAACACATATGTATGTATACTGTATATATATGTATATATATATATACATGTTTGACATATATGTATATGTTATATGTATGACATATATGTATTTATATATGTGTTTATATATGTATACATATATATATATATATATATATATATATATATATATATATATATATATATATATATATGTATATATATATATATATATATATATATATATATATATATATATATATATATATATATATATATATATATATATATATATGTTTAAAGAAAGATGCGGTACATCACGTTTTCTGAAGCACCATAAACCACAGGCCATTAGATAATCCATTCCATCAATGATTATTGCGTTGCTTGAAACAAATCCTGAAATATGGAATTCTAGGGGATCGCGTTTGGATAGTGCTATAAGTGACTGAATGGTATATTTGGATATCCAACACAATACTAGGTCTCCGTCTTTAATATCACGGAAGGATACAAAAAACAGATCGACGAGATTGGAAGAGTCCTCAGAAGGGTGAGAGAAGGATACTCTCCTTAGGACAAAATAATTCCTTTGACCTCAAAAGTGGGACTGGAGACGCTGAGCGAATGGGGCGCGTGACCAAGCGTGTCATTTGGTTCGATTTCCCGCGCTTTTCTTACGACCAGATTTCAAAAACCTTGTTGGAGGATTTTGGAGGAAATGACGGGCAAACAGGACACAGCATATAATCCAGAATCGGTGCGTCTTTGCATCCTGATTTCATAAGCAAGACAATAACAAAAGACGTTATTAGCAACTGGAACATTGTGTGGATATCGAAAGATAGCATCATATCACTCTTGTAACCAGGGGCGTCATTTGTGGAGGGGCTGGGGGAGGCTGCATTTACCCCCCCCTCCCCCCCAAGACTCCGACTACCCATCAAGGTAAGGCTTGTCCCCCTCCCCCTGCAAGAACGACATTCTAACAATTAATTTTTGCCAAAATTATACCTTCATAGTTCTGGCCGATGCTTTAAAATGCTCCTAGAGAAACTCATTTTGCAAAAAGAAGAAAAAAAAAGTAAATAAAATAAAGTGAAATTCGCAGCTTCTCTGACTGTGCTCACCTCGCTCGCCGATCTCTACCCCCCACCCCCACCCCCAGAGAAAGAGCTTAAATACCCCGGCTTAAAACACTAAGCGTCGGTAACAATATCTTAGAATTCCAAATCTCAAGAGTTGTTTCGGACATAATAATAATCATTAGTTTCTCTGTTTCGCATGAAATGGATTCCAGAATGATCGAAGATTCATCATCTGTAAATTCTGAGGTTAATATTTCAGTAAGAGAAAAAAGAAAGAAATAGATTCATCCGTTACTTTCGAATTTACTAGAACGTCATACTTGGTATGTGAGTCTTGCTTCTGAAATCATAATACTTTTGTATGATATACACCTATCATAATAATTTTTTTTCTTTTATACATTTTCTCCGCAAATATAGAAAGTAATATTCATTGTAATTTTCGAAGGAATTTAAATTGTGAATTTCTCAGGTAGGCTTATATCTCTGCCAAATTCGCTTGAAAACAGTTATTTGGATAACAAGATGAAGATTTCGAATAGTAAAATTTAGTGAGGACTCATTGCATAAATGTAAGGTAAGATTTAGCATAAACTGGGTCCCTATATCGGATATTCCTATATGGAACACCGATGTGCGAAGCATCTAGAAACGGCTTCCTTTTAAGGCATTTGTAGCCAATCCAGGTTGCATGGAAATGACAAGAGATATGCATAATACGCGATAATTGGAATATATCTTTTATTCTATAAACCACATATTTCAATACTTTCTTTGATAAACACTGACACGATATAAGTTTTTCCATTTTCTCTGGAAATTTCCAGAATTTCCACACCATAACAATGCGTAATCATAACAAGCTATAGATCATCCATCTCTGCAATCTGATTATACCAGATCATACATAATCGTCCATTATACATCGTGTGAATTGGATACCTGCATTAAGCATTTCCAAATCTTCGAAGCAACGAGATTCTTCCGGACGCGAATGGGAGGTTCCAGAGAAAACGGGCGTCTATATAATCTCGCTCGCAGCCCAGACTCGCCAGAACTCAAGCAGCCGAGCGACCCAACAAGCATCAGTGAGGAATCCTCTCGAGTCCCGCGCGAGCTTCACAGTCGAGGACATTGTGCAGTCTCTTAGTGCGTTAAATTCCAGTGTTTGAAAAGGTTTGTTTCATGTTTGAATGGTGAGATTATTTCACGCTGAGATATATAAGAGTCATGTCGAGAATATTTGTTGAAAGAATAGAACGGATGATATATTTCGCATTTGTTGAGTTCACGTGCATGAAAGTTTCTATTGTTTGTTATTGAAATTGTACGAGGTGTTATAAGGAAATCCAGTGCGATATACTCCTAACATCACTCTTCCTTCGTTCAGAATGGCAGCTCCAGCTATCGGCATCGACCTGGGCACGACCTACTCGTGCGTGGGCGTGTTCGAGCACGGCAAGGTCGAGATCATCGCCAACGACCAGGGCAACAGGACCACGCCCTCCTACGTGGCCTTCACCGACGTCGAGAGACTCATCGGAGACGCCGCCAAGAATCAGGTAAGAGTATAGACTTCTATATGTATCTGCTACAGGGGATTCTTCGTGACTGAAGATGTGTTATTCCAGCATAGCACAGAGTAGTTGTACTTTCACTTAATTATATATTTTGTATATTTTAACAATATTATATATCATTTCACATGCGATAAAAACAAGCATCATGTTACCAGTAATATTCTGTAAGCAACAACGATGCTCATAATGCTGATGAAAAGTTTTTAGTGTTGTGAAGGCCGCAGCAGGCTAAGCGAAGGGATGTACCGTAGTATTTCACCTGACTTCCCTTCTCTCTCATACCAGGCTAAATAATTTATTGCATGCTTTTACCAACATAGATCACATACCCGTATTCGACACCTAAAAAGATACTCCCGCTATTTCTGATGTAAAACAAGAATGTAAGCTGAATCGCTAATTCTATTTGCAGGTGGCTCTGAACCCAACCAACACGGTGTTCGATGCCAAACGCCTCATCGGTCGCAAGTTCGAGGATGCAACTGTCCAGAGTGACATGAAGCACTGGCCTTTCGCTGTGGTCAACGAGGGCGGAAAACCCAAGTTGAGAGTGGAATTCAAGGGAGAAAGCAAGAGCTTCAACCCCGAGGAGATCTCGTCCATGGTGCTGACCAAGATGAAGGAGACAGCCGAAGCCTACATGGGGAAGGCTGTGAAGGACGCCGTGATCACGGTCCCCGCCTACTTCAACGACTCCCAGCGACAAGCCACCAAGGACGCAGGAACCATCGCTGGCATCAACGTTCTGAGGATCATCAACGAACCGACAGCCGCCGCCATTGCTTATGGACTGGACAAGCAGAGCGTGGGAAAGGGAGAGCGAAACGTGCTGATCTTCGACCTGGGAGGCGGCACCTTCGACGTGTCCATCCTGAGCATCGACGACGGAGTGTTCGAAGTGAAGTCGACCGCAGGAGACACTCACTTGGGCGGCGAAGACTTCGATAACAGAATGGTTACTCATTTCGTTCAAGAGTTTCAGAGGAAATACAAAAGAGATGTGACGAGCAACAAACGGGCACTTCGACGTCTCCGAACTGCCTGTGAACGAGCCAAGCGAACGCTCTCTTCCTCCACACAAGCTAGTCTGGAAATCGACTCCCTCTTCGAGGGAATCGACTACTATACCTCCATCACTCGTGCGAGATTCGAAGAGCTTTGTTCGGACCTTTTCCGAGGAACCCTGGAACCGGTGGAGAAAGCTCTCCGAGACGCCAAGTTAGACAAGAGTAGTATCCACGACATCGTGCTAGTTGGAGGCTCCACACGCATCCCCAAGGTGCAGAAACTGCTGCAAGATTTCTTCAACGGCAAGGAACTGAACAAGTCCATCAACCCAGACGAAGCTGTAGCTTACGGAGCTGCAGTTCAGGCAGCCATATTGCGGGGAGACGAGTCTGAAGCGGTGAAGGACATGCTACTCCTTGACGTGGCTCCCCTTTCTCTGGGAATTGAAACGGCTGGCGGTGTCATGACGGCCCTCATCAAACGCAACACCACAATTCCCACCAAACATTCTCAGATCTTCACCACATACGCGGACAATCAGCCAGGAGTAATGATTCAAGTGTACGAGGGCGAGCGAACCATGACCAAAGATAACAACCTGCTTGGCAAGTTCGATCTGAGTGGCATCGCCCCAGCTCCACGCGGAGTACCACAGATCGAAGTCACGTTCGACATCGACGCCAACGGCATCCTCAACGTGAGCGCGATGGACAAGTCAACGGGGAAGGAGAACAGGATCACCATCAGCAACGACAAGGGTCGTCTGAGCAAGGAGGAAATCGACAGGATGGTGAGTGAGGCGGAAACGTATCGCGAGGAAGACGCCAAACAGCGAGAACGCATCGACGCCAAGAACCGTCTGGAAGCACTTTGCTTCAGCATCAAATCGTCCATCAATGATTCTGCAGTGGCTGACAAACTGTCAGCCGAGGAAAAGCGCAGTGTGGAAGAGAAAGCAGAGGAAACGCTGAAATGGCTGGATAACAACCAGCTGGCAGAAAAGGAGGAGTACGAGCATAAGATGAAGGAGCTGGAAGGAGCGTGGCGACCCCTTGGAGGCAAAATTCATGGTTCAGGAACAGGGTCCTCAGGCAGCGGTCCAACTGTTGAGGAAGTCGACTAATTTCCTAATGTGATAAGTACAGTCTCTCTATCGGATCACAATTTGGTTTATATGATGACTTGACTTTAATAATTGTAATGGAATACTAGTCTATGTGTACCTGACATGTAACGGTTATATAATGCTTTTCTCATTTATACGGGTTTACCGGATTATTGTATAATGATTATGTGAGAAAATATGTAAAAAACATAAGGCAATTTCAATGTGACTTTATATACATAACTGTAAGGTATTATTGTGTTTTTTATATGCACACGACTGTTCATGCTCACAAGACAAACTATGTATACTTCATCATACAGCATTCCCTCTAAAAAGGTACAATACGATGTGATATGTGAATAAATATACTTGATATTTGACTTACCTTTTCCCTTTTCCTGGAACACCTCCAAAGCCAAAAGTCTATGAAAAACAATGTTACACTGAATCTACAACCAAACAGAAAGTGAAAGAAGTAGTCCACCGTTATAAGAAACTGCAGATGTCTTAAGAATGGAAACACCTTAATGCATTTCGTAAGAATAATATATTTTTATCTAATATGTATTTAGCCGAGCTATCTGGGTAAAATTCGGCCAAGTTCTGGAGGAAATGCAGGTTGTTGTTGTACTGGGACAAAGATTCACTCGGACTTTTACAGCGAAAGGTTAATATAAGAAGAGAGGAGAGATTGAGAAAGAGTGAGTGAAAGAGAATACGTTATCTCCTTTACACACCAATGGTAGCTAAACTTTTAAGTGTACAGATGAAACAAACGCTCTCTGTACATTTTGATAATTATTAATCTCGTATGGGGTTTTGGTATCAGGAAACTTCATTATGTTACCAAAGTTGAAAGTGTAGTCTGTACAGGGAACTATCGCATTTACCAAGAAACAGCCATCAATGAACATGAAACAACTGGCGAATTATCGGGTTATTTAAATCGAACACAAATACGAACACTACTTAGTTGTTTCCCATTTGAGATTCCAGGCTTTCGGATGCAGTCGCCTATTCACAGATTTTTCCACGGTGTGATTGTATCTAATAATGTTGGTTTATATTAAAAATAGAAAATGCAATGCACGTTTTATGCTCTCTTGTTTTCTCTCACCCCTGCTCTTAATTTAAATTTTCCTTCATTTGGTTCGACTTCCTGGTGTTTTCTTACAACCAGATTTCAAAAACATTGCTGGAGGATTTTGAAGGAAGTGACGGGCAAACAGGACACAAATATATATCCAGAACCGGCTCGTCTTTGCATCCTGATTTCAGAAGCAAAACAATAACACAAGACGTTATTAGCAACTGAAGCATTGCGTGGATAACGAAAGAGGGCATCAGTCACTCTTGTAACCAGGGGCGTCATTTGTGGAGGGGCTGGGGGAGGGTTCATTTACTTCCTCTTCAAGGTCTAGCTTCCCCCCCCCCTCCCCCTGCAAGAGCGACATTCCAACCATTATTTTTTGCCAAAATTATACCTTCATAGTTCTGGCCGAAGCTTAAAACTCATTTTCAAAAAAAAAAAAAAAAAAAAGAACATATAAAAGAAAAGAAAAAATAAATTTCTCTGATTGTGCTCACTTCGCTCGCCAATCTTGACCCCCCCCCCCCGAGAAAGAGCTTAAATGACCCCCAGCTTAAAACACAAAGCGTAGGTGACAATAACTTGTAATTCCAGACCTTAATCGTTGTTTCCGGCATCACCATGATCATTGGTTTCTCTGTTTCGCTTGAAATGGATTCCAGAATGGTTTGTTTTTTATATCATTTCAGAGTAATATACCATAGGATCTTTGTTTTAAAAAATACAGACACAAACACATATATGTATATATATATATATATATATATATATATATATATATATATATATATATACATTTGTCTAATACACACATAGATAAACATGTGTGTATAAATATATATATAGGTATATATACATGTATATACATATATGTATACATATATATACATATATATATATAATATATATACATATATATATACATATATATATATATATATATATATATATATATATATACATTATGTATATGTGCATATACATAAATGTATATATATATATATATATATATATATATATATATATATGTGTGTGTGTGTGTGTGTGTGTGTGTGTGTGTGTGTGTGTGTGTGTGTGTATCTATACATATATGTGTGTATGTATGTATAATATACACACACACACACACACACACACACACACACACACACACACACACACACACATATATATATATATATATATATTATATATATATATATATATATATATATATATACTATGTATATATAATCATATATGCACGCACACACACGTGTATGCATATGTGTGCAAGGTCTATGGACCTTGTATGTGTGTGGAGAGAGAGCGAGGGTGCATGCACACGTTCGTGTATGTGCATTGTTTACCAGATGATATATTTCGAAAACTCATCAACTGTAAATTCAGAGGTCCTTATTTCTATATATGAAGTGGAAAGAAAAAAGAAGATAGATTCATCCGTTTTCTATCGTATTTACTAGAATGTCATTCCTGTTATATGTCTTGCTTCTGAAATCATAATACTTTTGTATGATATACACCTTACACATATACTACTTATTTTTTACTGTTATACATTTTCTTCGTAAATATGCAAATGAATATTCGTTGTAATTTTCGAAGGAATATTCATTGTGAATTTCTCAGGTAGGCTTATATCGCCTGAAAACAGTTATTTGGATAATAAGATGAAGATTCCGAATAGTAAAATTTAGTGAGGACTCATTGCATAAATTTAAGGTAAGATTTAACATAAACTGGGTCCCTATATCGGATATTCCTATATGGAACACCGATGTGCGAAGCATCTAGAAACGGCTTCCTTTTAAGGCATTTGTAGCCAATCCAGGTTGCATGGAAATGACAAGAGATATGCATAATTCGCGATAATTGTAATATGTCTTTTATTCTATAAACCACACATTTCAATATTTTTTTTAATAAACACAGACTCGATATAAGTGTTTTCCATTTTCTCTGGAAATTTCCAGAATTTCCACAACATAACAATGCGTAATCATAACAACACAAGCTATAGATCATCCATCTCTGCAATCTGATTATACCAGATCATATATAATCGTCCATTATACATCGTGTGAATTGGATACCTGCATTAAGCATTTCCAAATCTACGAAGCAACGAGATTCTTCCGGACGCGAATGGGAGGTTCCATAGAAAACGGGCGTCTATATAATCTCGCTCGCAGCCCAGACTCGCCAGAACTCAAGCAGCCGAGCGACCCAACAAGCATCAGTGAGGAATCCTCTCGAGTCCCGTGCGAGCTTCACAGTCGAGGACATTGTGCAGTCTCTTAGTGCGCTCAATTTCAGTGTTTGAAAAGGTTTGTTTCATATTTGAATGGTGAGATTATTTCACGCTGAGATATATAAGAGTCATGTCGAGAAGAATATTTGTTGAAAGAAAAGAACGGATGATATATTTCGCATTTGTCGAGTTTACGTGCATGAAAGTTTCTACTGTTTGTTATTGAAATTGTACAAGGTGTTATAAGGAAATCCAGTGCGATATACTCATAAATACTCTCTTCGTTCAGAATGGCAGCTCCAGCTATCGGCATCGACCTGGGCACGACGTACTCGTGCGTGGGCGTGTTCGAGCACGGCAAGGTCGAGATCATCGCCAACGACCAGGGCAACAGGACCACGCCCTCCTACGTGGCCTTCACCGACGTCGAGAGACTCATCGGAGACGCCGCCAAGAATCAGGTAAGAGTTTAGACTTTTATATGTATCTGCTACAGGGGATTCTTCGTGACTGAAGATGTGTTATTCCAGCATAGCACAGAGTAGTTTTACTTTCACTTTATTATATATTTTGTATATTTTAACAATATTATATATTATTTCACATCCGATAAAAACATAAGCATCATGTTACCAGTAATATTCTGTAAGCAACAACGATGCTCATAATGCTGATGAAAACGTTTTCTAGTGTTGTGCAGGTAGCAGCAGGCTAGGTGAAGGGATGAACGATCCGTAGTATTTCACCTGACTTCCCTTCTCTCTCATCTCAGGATAAATACTTGACTGCATGCTTTTGCCACTATAGATCACACACCCGTATTCGACACCTAAAAGATACTCCCGCTATTTCTGATGTAAAACAAGAATGTAAGCTGAATCGCTAAATCTATTTGCAGGTGGCTCTGAACCCAACCAACACGGTGTTCGATGCCAAACGCCTCATCGGTCGCAAGTTCGAGGATGCAACTGTCCAGAGTGACATGAAGCACTGGCCTTTCGCTGTGGTCAACGAGGGCGGAAAACCCAAGTTGAGAGTGGAATTCAAGGGAGAAAGCAAGAGCTTCAACCCTGAGGAGATCTCGTCCATGGTGCTGACCAAGATGAAGGAGACAGCCGAAGCCTACATGGGGAAGGCTGTGAAGGACGCCGTGATCACGGTCCCCGCCTACTTCAACGACTCCCAAAGACAAGCCACAAAAGATGCAGGAGCTATCGCGGGCATCAATGTTCTTAGGATCATCAACGAACCAACAGCCGCCGCCATTGCTTATGGACTGGACAAAAACGTGGAAAGGAGAGCGAAACGTGTTGATCTTCGACCTGGGAGGCGGTACCTTCGACGTGTCCATCCTGAGCATCGACGACGGAGTGTTCGAAGTCAAGTCGACCGCAGGAGACACTCACTTGGGCGGCGAGGACTTTGATAATAGAATGGTAAATCATTTTACTCAAGAATTTCAGAGAAAATATAAAAAGGATATGACAAGCAACAAACGCGCACTTCGACGTCTCCGAACTGCCTGTGAACGAGCCAAGCGAACGCTCTCTTCCTCCACACAAGCTAGTCTGGAAATCGACTCACTCTTCGAGGGAATTGACTATTATACCTCCATCACTCGTGCAAGATTCGAAGAGCTCTGTTCCGATCTTTTCCGAGGAACTCTAGAACCGGTGGAGAAAGCTCTCCGAGACGCCAAGTTAGACAAGAGCACTATCCACGACATTGTCCTAGTTGGAGGCTCAACACGCATCCCCAAGGTGCAAAAACTCCTCCAAGATTTCTTCAACGGCAAGGAACTGAACAAGTCCATCAACCCAGACGAAGCTGTAGCTTACGGAGCTGCAGTTCAGGCAGCAATTTTACGTGGGGATCAGTCCGAAGGTGTAAAGGATGTCCTGCTCCTGGATGTGGCTCCCCTGTCTTTGGGCATCGAGACAGCCGGTGGAGTTATGACAGCCTTAATTAAACGAAACACTACCATTCCTACAAAACAACAACAAACATTTACAACGTACGCAGATAATCAGCCAGGGGTA